TCTTCAGACATGGGTGATTGGCAATGTCCCTCATTTGGCAATATTTCAGTTCCAGTTTGTAGGACCTGGCCCATATTTCATCAGTTACAATAATCCACTGAAGGTGGAATTCTTCTTCAAGCTTGTAATGATCTAGATCAGGGATGTCAAACCTTTTTGAGCCTGTGTGCCATATAGTAAGCATACTTAGCTTTAAAGATGTAAATGATGTAAGCATACTTAGCTTTAAAGATGTGCCAAAATTTTAAACTTCAAATAATGATATTTAAAGAAATTAAACAAATATGCTTTAATTAAAATAAATGTAAAAAAGCTAATTTTAAAAAGGGATGATCAGGTGATAAACTGAAGGAATGATTGAAAAAAACAGATGATAAATCGAAAATGTATATGTTGCATGTCAGATGATTTCTCTTTATTTGCCACTTTGGGCACGCATGCCATAGATTTACCATCCCTGATCTAGATCAGGAATGGGCAACCTTTTTCTATTTAAGGGCTGCATTTCAAAACTTTTGAATTGACATGGGTCAAAAGAGAAAAGAGGGAGGAAATGTCAATAAATCAATTATTTATTCATATATAATTATAAATTAGTATAAGTATACTTAATTTAGCTTCTGGAAATGATGTAAATGTAATATATTGGAAATATTTGGTTAAATATTAGTCACTGCTAGTTTTAAATTAGTTTCGATGTGTCTGTTAGCCAGTTTCTTGTTTTAATTTTTACTAAATTCATTGCAGGGAAACTATTCACATACATAAGTTGTAGAAAATAACATTTGAATTTTTGCTGCATACTTCCTTAAGCTGGGAAATTGATATATTTATTCATATTTTATGCAATGCGGATCGCAAAAAATATTACTGCGGGCTGCAGGTTGCCCATCCCTGATCTAGATGAACAAAAAATAACCACAACTGAAGAATTAAGTCAACAAAAACTCATCTTAACAAACTCCAGCAAAATTTTTAATAATCAAAAATTATTTTGATTTCTATGATGGATCTGCCTCAGTTGCTTGCAATGCATTAAAAGAATCAATGCAGGTTGGCTCAAAAATTCAAATCATAACATAAAATAACATCTAATGGTTACACATTTGATCACAAACATTTGGAGAATACTGAATAATATGGATGGTTTACTCAATGGGTGTCTGGTCTTCATTTTTTCCTGATTATTGTCAGTAAATTGTGCTGAATCAAAGGAGATGAATATTTACCTCTTTGTGTTATCCATCTACACATTCATGCTCATATAACAACAATCATAACATAAAACAACATATAATGGTTACACATTCAATAACAGTCAAAGATTTTAATTTGTAAAATGCAAAAATCATACATTATTTATTATTTTCAATTTGGTTAATGGGCCATCCTCAGGCATGGACTGTCAAAAATGGAAGGCTAGTGTTGGAAGAATGAAGAGCTAGACTCAATAGAGTAAACGAGCAAGGAAGATATGATGGCAGCTATTGATAAGAAATAGTAAAGAGATATTGCTAGACGGGGGAAGGGAGTCCTTATCCCAGATTTTTATATTTGTGTTGGTAATGGAGTGGTTTTAAATTTCACACCTCTTTATGATGCTGGTGTGAGAAGGATGAAAGATAATTCTGATGATTTTGGCTGTCTGCCAATCTACCTCTGTGCCAAGAGTTGTGTATAGGAAAATAAAACTGTAGCAAACCCTCTGGTTTAATTTCATCTTTATAATTGACAAATCTCTGATTGTGAGGGATCTTTAGGTGTATCTAACATACAACATACTGTATTCTACTTTCAATTGCACATGCTTAAGAATGGCTTGTTAACTGGGTAGAAAATGTTAGTATTCTTTTATTTCACTCACTTTATTAAAGCTACATTAATAATTTCAGCTCTATCTGCGTTCAATACACTCAGTTCAACTGACTTTTCCATGATTCTGAATATTTGTCTGATTTATAATCCTATAACCAAACATTCAGTGTTTCAAATTGAATTGGAATGTACAATAGTAATTTTACTGTTCTTATTTATTGTGTAAACTTAAGTTTTTCTTATGTAAACTCTGACCATTTTTGGCAGTCCAATACCAATATTTTATGATGTTCTTGTCCTCCATATTGAACTTTTTATATAATAATTTTTTGTACAGTGTGATTTAAAGTTCTTCTGCGATGAGTGGGAAAATGGAAGGCGCTTCCAGGAATGAAGTAATGATGTTACAGGCAGACCACATGCTAAGAGTTAAAGTAAGGTATGATGTCACTCAGCAGCATTTGCAGACTATAAAGAAGAGGGGACAGAAGATATAAAAAAAGACATCAACATTACATTATGCAAGAAGCTTCAAACTGTGATTCAATGTTGGATCAGCATTTTCCACAAGATTGCACTGGTTGCAATTAGGGCTAACTTGGTCTTAAAAACAAGAAATGTTTCTTGTTTTCAAGACCAAGCTTTGGTCACCATATGACTAAGTTGCATGAGACAATGGACAAATATTGTTCATTAGTTTCTTTTATATTTGTGGAAAAGTTGTGAATTTTTGTTGTTTTTTGATAATGGAATTTGAGGCCCTCTTGAGGATTAGGAAAAGGGCAACACACAAAAAAGGAGTATATGCCCCAAGTGACCCAATGTACAGGTGCCCCTGTACATTGGGGCACTTGTCCAAGCCACATGGGTATGGCTCTTTGTGGAGGGACTTTACAATCACACTGTATAACTAATTTTAATTAATTGTGAAGAATGTCCACACTAGTGGTTTTCTACTTTCATCTTGGATATTCTTCACAATTAATTAATCAAAAGTTCATTGACTGTTTTAGATAAGCAGTATTAGTTTATGAATGTTGTTTAAGTAAAAAAATAAAGAAAGACTAATTGATTATATGATAAAATGAAATGTAATTTAAAAAACTGCAGAGAAAATTCATAAACATCTATAAAAATAGGCAGATGGCACTTAAATTGATCAATGCTAAGATACATTTGTTTTATTTTAGAATTGATAAGCTGCAATTAAAATAGTCTTTATAATTTCTTATTTTTTATATTTTTATCTATTATTAATATTGAGTTAGTTTCTTATAAATTTTTATTTACATTTATTTCTATAATAAATGCAGCAAAAATATATATTTCTTCTAAATAGCTGTCTTCTGTAATAGATGACGGTGCAGAGATGGTTCCAGTTTATAAAAGTTCTCCTGTATTTTCAATTTTAGTATATTGTATTTATTTCTTAAGTACAGATTTATCCTGATACAGCTGACTAACTAAAAATAAAAAATTTAAACATTCAGTTAGAAATTAGTGTTCAGGAAAATATGAATTTTTGAACATTATTTAAACTTAATATTTTGTATTATTTGTAATTTTATAAACACAGTCACAAAGTATTAGTCTTGATTATAAACAAACAAAATGAAACCTTAAATAATTTTTAAGAGCGTTTTATTTCATTTCATTTAAAAAATTTTTATTTTTAAAATTTCAAATAAAAACACCAACCAAAACCGGATGCTTAGAAAATAGACACTCACAACTGCCATAAATAATCAGGATATATTTTGGAAATAATAATTATGAATTACAAATGAATTTGGCACATAGACTGAGGCATTAGGCGCATTTGTAATTTATATTTATTATTTCCAAAAGATAGCCCGATTATAATAACGAACAACTGCACACCAGAGTTTACTAACAACATGTACCTCAGAAACCTTTAACCGATGCGAACTAAAATTTAACAATACAAACATTTTCGATATGACAGAAACTTTTATGTTCGGAACTATTGAGCACTTGATTCCATTCTATCTTTCGTATTTAATATTGTTTCAAATGATTCTTTACCTGAAGAAGGGCCAGGAGTTGTCTGAAAACGTTTGTATTGTTAAATTTTAGTTTGCATCGGTTAAAGGTTTCTGAGGTACGTGTTGTACAGCCCCATTATTTACAGCAGTTGTGGGTGTCTATTTTTAAAATTGAAAACTAAAAATAAATTTTTCTGTGAATTGCAAGAAATTACTCACATTCATAATTACTTTTTAGATTTAGTGCTTTTGGCCTAATGGCTCCCACCTGCACAATAACAATAACACATTCATAATTAAGATTATTTGTCACTCTACTTTTTAAAAAGTAAAAGTGTCTACAGTAAATCACTAATCATAACAGAAATTTAAAGGAAAAAAAAACCAATTATTGAACATTTTAGATCAGTGGACCAGTAATGGTTCATGAAATATATTTTAATAATATGCCAGATGGTTTGCAGACTGACCTAATTGTAAAGTAGTAACCTTTTAGCACAGCGGGGACAAAAGGGGTACGGCTTTGTTAATTGGACCCACCTGCAGTCAGACGGTAGTACAATGGCCATATTGTAAACGAACGAACGTAAACAAGTGGCGGACGTTTGTGTAAGCTTCACTCTCGTCGGGTGACGGCGGACCCGAGTGTAAGCTGTTCGGGCAAAGAAAAGGGATTGTGATTGGTCGGAAGTCCCCGTCCAAAAACCCTTAAATTGCGGGCCGAACGAGAGGAAAGGAGAGAAGGGCAAGAGACTGGTACACGGTAGTCTCAGGCACTTGGGAAGCCCGCTGAGCGTAAAGAGAGAGTGTTCTCCTCTGTTAATCTTCTCAGGGACGGGTTAGTGCTGAGACCGGACCGACCGTGCAGTTGAGCCGACTCCGAAAGCTGACTGAGGTCTCTCCCAAGAGTATTAGTTTCCAGACGCCAATCTGGCACGTGAATTCACCACGCATGATCTTCCTGTACATATGCTACGTTTATAACTTGTACAACTGTAAATAAACTATATATATATTCAATTTGAGTGTGGAGGTGTACTTTCCGACGAACCTGATTCACTACATCGAGTCGTGATATACAAGAAACCAACTCAACGAGGCGGAGTTGGGAAGGAACATTTTTCCATAAGATCTTCACTGGAGCAGTCGGCAGGATAGTCTTGCAACTCTTCAGGAGATTCCCGCAAGAAGACAGGGAAGTACTGAGCCCACATTCAAGGACTAAAGAAAACAGCGCAGGACACTTACGAAAGGAAGAACAGCCGGAAATCAAGGCAGAACACAGCTATTGGTAAGTTGTTCTTAATTATTCGTATTCAGAATGCCGGGACGCGGAAGGACTCAAGGGTCAAAAAAGGGCATGTCGTGTTCCGAGGATCTGGGAGATCGGACTGGTTTTAGTCAATCCCAGGAAATGGATACGGAGTCGGAAAGGGAAATCTTAGAGGGTGAGGTCATGGAAAACCGGAATAAAATAGAGAGACAGATAGAGTCAGACGATGTAGAGAAGTTACGCCTACAAATTAGGCTAGCTGAAATAGAATCTAAAAACAAGGAAATGGAAATGGAAATTAGAAAATGTGAAATAGAATTAGAAAGAGATCGGTTACGAAATGACTCTAGGGCTAGTAATAACTCTGAGCTAGGGGGTAACTTGGATAGTCTAGCTAGGAAAATCAGATGGGCTTTACCCAAAATGCCGGACAAGGAGGCGGAAGTGCCTTCATGGTTCCGTGCTGTGGAAGTTGTATTGCAAACATACGACGTACCGGAAGAGCTTCAGGGACAGTTAGTTTTAACGGTATTATCAGAGAAATGCAAAACAGCTTTAAGTAGACTCACGGCAAATGAAATCAGAGACTACGAAACTTTAAAACAATTCGTGCTGGACGAATTAAAGTTGTCTGCTGCAGAGTATCTTAAGGAGTTCACTTCCTCCGAAAAGGGAAGTAGGGAAACGTGGCCCCAATTCGCGGCTAGGATGGAAGACCTTTATCGGTATTATTTGAATAGTAGAGGCGTAGATTCCTTCGAAAGATTGATGAAGCTAGTTGTTTCGGATCATCTTAAGACTAAGCTAGATGCCGACACTAGGCGTTACGTTCTATTGCAAGAGGGTAAAGGTTGGTTCCCGCCGGGAGAGATAGCTAGGTATGCCGAAAAGCATGCGGAAGCAGTTGGAAATGGGGAGTTCAGGTGTAAATCCGAAAGAGATAAAAGAACAGCCTTTGGAACTGGGGGTGTGAGTGCGAACAATGGAGAGCCGGAGAGGAGGGAATCAAAAATGAAATGTTATATTTGTGATCAGACGGGACATTTCAAACGGGATTGCCCTCAGAGACGTGTTAAGGATGAAATGCTGAGGTCTAGAGCAGCGCGAGTGGTAACAACGTTAGACGAAACGGTAAAGTCTGATGACAAGTTAGTAGCTAGGGTAAGAATCGGAAAAGATACGATTAGTGGAAACTTACCCGCTAGCTTAAACGAAAATCTCCTGCTTACTTATCAAGGTCGAAAATTTTCTGCAATAGTAGACACTGGGGTAGAAATAACGGTGATGAGAAAAGCTTTGATACCCAATTACATGTCCCGTACAGAGGGTAAGACGAAGTTAATCGGCGCGTTCGGACAGCAGGTATCTGCAACATTAGTAACCATACCTGTAAGCTTAAAAGGGTGGTTGGGCAGAAAGAGAAATTATTATAATCCAGTAGCAATAACCTGCGCTTTGACCGACGAGCTTAGCTGCACCACAGATGCGTTACTTTCGGCAGCCGATTATTGCGCCTTAAAGAAAGCTAAGCGGACGGGAATAAATAAACGGAACAAACGTAACAAGAAGGTCATAGGTGAAAGGGTTAACAAAGGAGATAGTCCGAACCCTAAGGTGGAAAAAAGGGGTAATATAAAAAAATATTGCAGGGTATGTAGTAGTCGTCAGGTACTCACTCCCTTCCAGCAAAATGACCGTACACTTCATAGTGCGAAATTGGCACGTTGGGCATCAGAGTCACGGAAATACAATGTCGAGATCAGGCACAGAAAAAGGAAAAAGCGTACTAATGCTGACGGCGTATACAGACCGGAAGTCAGGGACAATCCGGAACCTCCAGATCAGACGAACAAGGCATATTAAATTTCGTGTTAAGTCCTTCGGATAGATATAAGTGATATCTACAAGGCGATTCTGAATATAGATTAATGGAACAATTTGTCAATGATAGTATTGTACTGTAAATATGTGTCTGCTAGATATTAAGAACCTATAACTGTAAATAATTTGTTAGTATACAATAATATCTATAGTAATCTGCCCCTTGTATTAGAAAAAGGGGAAATGTATTGTAAGAACTGATTTGTGTAACGATAATTATGGTGCGTGGTGATGGTATATGTTTAGGTCAAACAGGCTTTTGTTAAAGCGCAGTTTGAACCTTGTCGGTGGGAGATGTAAAGTAGTAACCTTTTAGCACAGCGGGGACAAAGGGGGTACGGCTTTGTTAATTGGACCCACCTGCAGTGAGACGGTAGTACAATTGCCATATTGTAAACGAACGAACGTAAACAAGTGGCGGACGTTTGTGTGAGCTCCACTCTCGTCGGATGACGGCGGACCTGAGTGTAAGCTGTTCGGGCATAAAAAAGGGTCGTGATTGGTCGGAAGTTCCCGTTCCAAAATCCCTTAAATTGCGGGCCGAACGAGAGGGAAGGAGAGAAGGGCAAGAGACTGATACACGGTTGTCTCAGGCACTTGGGAAGCCCGCTGAGCGTAAAGAGAGAGTGTTCTCCTCTGTTAATCTTCTCAGGGACGGGTTAGTGCTGAGACCGGACCGACCGTGCAGTTGAGCCGACTCCGAAAGCTGACTGAGGTCTCTCCCAAGAGTATTAGTTTCCAGACGCCAATCTGGCACGTGAATTCACCACCCATGATCTTCCTGTACACATACTATGTTTATAACTTGGACAACTGTAAATAAACTGTAAATACTTTCAATTTGAGTGTGGAGGTGTGCTTTCCGACGAACCTGATTCACCACATCGAGTCGTGATACACAAGAAACCAACTCAACGAGGCGGAGTTGGGAAGGAACATTTTCAATAAGATCTTCACTAATATTATATTAATATTACAGTAAAATATGTCCAAAATGGAATTAGAATAATAGGGAAACCTATCTAAACAGAAATAATTCTTTGAAATGGAGCAATTTTTTTATGTTAAAAAATACTGTTCAAAATGGAAACCTGCCAAACTGAGAAAATGTTTGGTACTGGGCAATTCTGGTTTACACAGGTTTTAGTGTCTACATCAAATAATTCTAAAAATATAATTTGTCACATTTATAGTTGCAATTTTTTAAAAATAAAAGTAACAAGTAAAGTACATAAACAAACATTAATCTGATAAATTTGTAAAGCCAAATAACCACTGGATTACATCAAGCTAATTTTCCACAATTATATTTAATTAATTACTTAAATAAATTAATTAATATAATTGCAACAAATTAGCCCGATGTAATCATGTGGTTATTTGGCCTAACAAGTAAAATTTTAACATACTGTATATAATTAAAATAGAATAAAATTATTATTATTTATATAATTTTAAGTTATAAATGAGGAAAAACTTTCAATTTCCAAATGTTTTTATTTTAAGGTTAATCATACTAACAACAGTTTCCTTAAAGAAAATGTTGGCATTCTGTATTGGCCTATTAATAAATACAGCAAGATAAAAGGTACAAAGATAGGAGGTCACTACACAGTTTTTAGTAAAGAATTTTCTATTGGTGAAAATGGATATATGTTTTTATTAGAAGCAAATCTTAATGGTGATGTAAAACTTAGTTGGGGCACTCATCTTTTCATTCAACTTAACATGGTTGCTGGCCCTAATGATGACAATTTATATTGGCCCTGCAATATAACGGTAAGTTTAAAGTATGTTGTGGATCCACTTCTATAGATAATGCCAAATTATTTAGTATTTTAATTGAATTATAGCTTTAAAATACTCTGTTAATTTTAGATATTTGATTTAGTCTATGTTTTTTTTTTTTATTTTGACCATTTACTTAGAACATAAAAATCAGATTATTAAAATACATTAATTTTTTGTAAAATATGTTAATAGTCAAAATTATTTTTTAGTACAATACTATTTAGTCAGATGGCCATACAGTAAGATGTCAGCCTACTGTAAGAAATCTGAATTTTATTCCAATCTCATTCCATACTTTAGTATCAGGGCTGGTGAGAGCTTGTATAAGGCCTAAGATAGAGTGGGTTCTTTTTCCTTCTTAGCAGGTCTCTTTTGTCAGTGCTTTCTGAACAAAGAAAATACATAGAATGTTTTTTTGTTTAATTAATAAAAAGTCTTAAAAATTTTATTTTCTGTTAGTAAAAATAACATTAATTTTATAAGGTAGGAACCATTATGAGTTCTCAAGTCTTCTCTGGATTGCGAGGGAAGTGGGGATGGGGAAAAATTTCTACCTTCATTCCCTTTGCAATTGGCTCTGTTTAGTAGTATGAGTGAGAGTATTTCTTTTCCCTCAGTCTGATTGATCTCATTACAAGTGTAAAGACGGCACCCTTGGGGAGACACCACCGTGAAGATTGTCCCCATTCTAAGGATGCGGGGTACCCGACTTGTAACTCGCACGGAGGTCAACCTTAAGGTGAAACGTTATGACCCTCACTTTGCCTGTGATCAGTCAGGATGACACGAGAACGCCTTTTCCATATGGGGGTAGTGGTTTGCTGGACGCAAAGACTCACACAGAGACCATAAATCCACAATTAATGCGTTTATTTGGTAAAAACATGCTTACAGATATGTGAGTTACACAGTCCAACTGTGGCAAAGTTGTACCCACTCGATGGAGGATCATCTGAATTTTGTTGGTCGCTCAGGAGACGATCCCTGGGAGGAGGAAGTGGAAGCTGGGCTCACGCTGTGCACGATTTTGATGGATCCAATCTCTGTCGGTAGGCAGAATCCCTCAAAGCACCGTTGGATGGAAAGTTCTGTGGCGGGAAGTTCAGTCCCCTTGTTCGTCTATCACTTGTTCCGTTTCACGTGTTTGCCCTCCTTCGGACAATCCTGGTGATCCGCAAGACTGTTCACTCCCAACCGCCTCATGTCCTTGGGATTTCGGGCTTTTATAATCTTTTTCTCCCTGAAATCCTGAGATTTTGATTGGTTCGAATGTTGGTCCCCTGCAATTCTATTGGTCCCTGCTCTGTTACCAGGGACGCGATTCAGGCCGCGGGGTCGCCAAATATCCCCGTCCAGGCCGTTCCCCTCCGAAGTCAGGTCAAGCCCTTTCCCAGATGACGGACCCGTAAATTTTACCTAATGTCTGTTTTTCTGTCCTGGAGAGGAGGAAGCTGTCTCAGTCGCCGCCCCCTCCACAGGAGTGTCAGCAGGACCTGCTTTGAACTCTCTGTAAAGTGACTGTCCAAAGTTTCCTTGACGGTCGATCCCTCACTCGTTCTCACGATTGATGATCACGGATCTGTCAATTAGGTCTGGAATGCGACAATTAAATCGTCTCGCACCCTGTTCCTTGGTCACACCGGTCCTATTTACGTAATAAGTCACCGATATATTGACTTTAGCTCGACAGTTGGTTTCCGTCCAAGGGGGGGTGGGTTGTCCCGGCCTCACACAAGTCAGTCTTGCCCGAAATTATTGTCTGTCAGAATCTTAATGTGCTTGTGCCTTACATCAATAATCAGTCAAAAAATTAAAGTTTTAGGATATTATACAGTAGTCGTCACTTATTATGGTCACTGGTTTATGTTATCAGCCGCTTAATGTAATCTAAACCAGTTTTCCAAAACCAATTACTGTATTTAATTCCTGTGTAAAATTTTGTCTGTTATTGTGATCAGTCTGCTGCTTATTGTTATCAGACAAAACTAGGACATTAACTGACAAATTAAGATTATTTTAAGATAACTTTTCAAAAGCATTAATTATTTTTTTTATGGAGGTATTATTTAATAATTATCTTTGCTATTTTTAAAATATGACACCTAACTGTAGGTGTATTAAAAACTGTTCTATACCAATTGGCATATAATCAATTGAGAACCGCTGTTCTATGACTGTTACTCTTAAATAAGATAGCTTTAGAACATTGAAAACGTTTAAATAAGTGAATAAACATTGGAGTTATCATTGCAATTCTGTATGTTTTTTTAATTAAATAACACCATAAATTGATCTCCTTTACAGTGCATAGCTACATATTCAGCGCCCTGGAGCAAGTATAATCAGTGCGCCCCTTGTTCCTCGGAAGAGGTCTCACAAAATTTGTTTTGAACATTTAATTTAAAAACATATAGACTATCTAATTATTTCGATTTATTGTAAATTGTTATTAAGTAAGGTTTTAACATTACTTAATAATTTATTTGAGATTTGAGACATTTCAACAATAAGATATTCAATTTAATAAATATATAATAATACTATATTATCATCTATATAAATAAAAATGTAAATGTTCGTTTGTTCAAAATCTTAAAACTCTGAAAGTTCTTCACCGATTGCTTTGAAATTTTGAAACAACATTGCATTTAAATACGTGCGTGTTTTTATATTATATAGATGTCTAAATCCCCCCCCCTGGGTTAGAGAAACAGGGTTAAGGCTGACCGTGAAGAACTCGGCTTCTATTATACTATTTTAGATGTGGTTTTTTGCGTTTTAATAGGGTTTGTCAAGAGAATGTACACTAAGAAAGGATTTTTTGAAATTTCCCCCCGTGAGGAGTGTTATACATTTATAATAGATACATTCTGAGCCACAGCAATGCGTGGCCTGATACAGCTAGTATAAAAATAAAACAAAATAATTCTTTAAGTAAGGAGTACCTAATAATATTTACTACACAGTATCACAGTATATAAACTGTATTGACAAAATGTATGCAAGTTTAGTTTCATAACAAATACATAATAAAGCATAAAAAACTTCAAGATTGTTGTTTTCTCGTTTTCATTTACAAATTGGTAAATTGCTTTCTCCAGATCAAGTTGACAAGCTGTTGTTTTTTCAATTAATATAGCCAAAGAACTAAGACAGTGTTGTGACACGCTGCTTAAATAAGTTTTGATTAATTTTAGTTTTGAAAATCTTTGTTCTGCTGTGGCTGTTGTCACCAGTAAAGTTTAAAAAAATGAGGCATGCTGCAATAATGTCAGAGAACCTACTTGAGGCTGCAGTGTGAATTAATTTCTTTATTAAAGGTAAAGTTTGGCAACTTCATGTAATCAAAATTTTTCAATGTAATATCAAAATAATGCAATGTTAAATTTTGATTTATATCCAGATCTTTATAACATTTTATATGTACAAAATTATTATTTTTAATGTATATTTTTAATGTATTATTTTTAAATAAAAATGAATGTTTAGTAAAGTGCTATATCTTCTATGATATATGAATAAATAAATTAATAATATATTTATTATTAATATACTAAAAGATATATATTTTTGATTTAATAAATGTTTGGTAAATTATTCATAAAATGATTATTATAAAATTTTGTATTATTACAGGGTATGATTGGTATATTAGATGCATCTGGAAAAAATCAAAGTTATTTTAAAACTTTTTCTTGCTGCATTCAGCGACCAGGAAATAAAGAAGTTATCTCATTTCCAGAGTTTATTCGTCAGTCAGATTTGATGAAATCTTATGTAGTTAATGATACTTTAACATTATTTGTTATGTTACATGATATAAAATATTTTTTTTCTCAAAGGAATATTAAATTTGTATAATAATCTATAAGTTTATACATTATTTTTGTAATACAGGAAATCCTCATTAATTTGAATTCAGATAGTTCGAAATCCCGTTAGTTCGTAACTGAATTTCGACCTAACGGGGATGAAATCTGTATCTAAAAATTGTAATATAAATCGAACAATATGAGTAAGCACATTTTCTAGTAATATAAATATGCTTTTTTCTATATAATTACAATGTAGTTAAAAAGTGTAATAATTATTATTTTACTTCTTTGCCCTGTGGGCACTGAACAGAGAGCTTTTTTCCAAGCCCTTTGTGTGTTCAGTCAGGCATACGATGGGATGGCCAGGTGGTGAGGGGCGGGACCCCACCTATCTGGGACAGACAATGAGATATAGACAGGCCGAGAAATTATACAACAAATTGGGATGCACAGTAGTTCAGTTTGTTGCCACTAGGATTGCTTCTAAATGTTCATCTTTAAACTAGCATCAACTATGTTCCATATTAAATTAATAATAGACCATTTTTATAACCAAAAAAAAATCCAGACCTTCATTGCTCTATCGAGGAAGTACGAATACTTCTGCATTTTGAAAGACATAGCAATAGATTGAAAACCATTGAAGGGCATTTCTAAGAGCTATTTTATTTTTAAATTTATAAAATTCCTCAGAGCATGGCTTTTGTTCCTCATTTCATATTATGTTGTTGCTCACAATAATGAGACACATGATCTGGAATGAATGAAAAGAAAATAGATTGGTTACAGTCCCTTTTCCTTTAAGTTTATTACTTACAGGAAAGTAATAAAATGAGATATTACCTTTTTTATCTACCTATATTTGCAAAAAGCCACACTGCAATATACAGTTTCTGTAAAAAAAAAAAAAAGAAAAACCCATTCCTGCTTATCTACTTCCACCAAGAAATAAGATTTAAAAGCAAACCTAGCAGCAATTGACCAAACAAAAGCACAACAATTTTTAGCCAAATTCTCGTCTATCTTCTGGCCTGCCTGTATCTCATAAGGTGTAAGGACCACCCTGAAAATTTCTTGGGTGTTTTCAACTCGCGCGAATTCATTACCTGGTCCTCCATGGCGGTAGGCCGACGCCTTAATCGCCTCAGCTCTCTGGCTGGCTGTTTGTTTATATTATAACATTCCTCTTATTGATGTCACTGTGATTTTAATTTAAATAATTTTATGTACAAAATATACATTTATATTGTCTTGCCGTTGCATAAAATTTGCATATATTTTTAAATATGCATTAGTTATTATACATGCTCTACTGTAATAAAATAAATTATTTTTTTCAAACTTTTGTAATAATGAAAATGTAACAAAGCTTAAATATAAACTTTTTATTTGTAACCAAAATTTCTTGAAGGAATAAACATAGTAAAAAGGTAAATTCAAAATGATTGGATATTTAAAAATCTGCCAAATTCTATCTCTATTGCTGAATGTTGCTACAGTACTTGTGAAGTAGAATTCTGATCTACTTGTCTAGTAGTAATTGTGAATGTGTTTATAAAGATTTTCTATCAAAAATTTTTCAAATATCATTAATTCAATTGATTGTACTTAAATTTAAATTAATAGCTATATAAATATTATAAATTACAATAATAAAATTCCTAACTAATACAGAAAACTTCCTAAAAAAAAAACAAAATTAATAAATAAAAAATTTTATTTAATTTAAAACTTTTTGCTCATTATAAGTGGGCATGTGGGTATTTCTTACATAACTCTTAATAATGTTTTACTTTTTACTTTATTATTATTATTATTATTATTTTTAAATATTTGTACTATTTTCTCTTTTATTTCCGCACTTTTGCTTGTTACAATTATACCTTTTATTTAGCCTGTCGAATATATGTTTTTTAATATATGATTTTTTAATGAGTGTATATTATCTGTATGTTTTATTATTATTTTTTTTTCGCTATATATATGTATCGTATTATTTTGTTCGTGTCTTTTTGTAATTTTTAAACTTCTTTTGAGTTTATGTTCTGGGAGTGGAAATCAATTGCCTAATGGCATTTGCAAAATTCAATATAAAATAAATAAATTAATATGCATTTACAATATAGTAAATGCATATTCACATATGAAGCAAATTGTCATTGACTAGCTTATTCCTTTTACTTTTAGCGCTTTTTACAGACACTCTTTTCTACAGAGTACCGTTAAGTTTGAACGATCAAACATTATACTACTGTATACAGAAGCGACAAAAAAAAAAGAACGTAAAAAGTATGAGTGCAAGAACTAAAAAATAACAAAGCTGAAATGATATCAATCACATTTTTAAGGTATGCTGGTGTAGAATTAATTTATAGAGAAGAAATCCTGCTTGCTTTTGCCATTAAAATCGTCAAGTATTTTAGAAAACAATCATCCAATTAATTTTTCATTATTTCTTGTAAATAACAGAAATTAGTATTTTCTAGCTTTGTTATAATTTAATTTTAAAACACTTAGTATTTGAACTGCAATTTGAAAAAAATTGTAGACTTATTAACACTGTGGCCTGTCTATGCCTGTTGTCTGACCTTAATCGCGAGATCGGCGTTAGATAGATCAATGTCGAGACCAGATGTTGAAATCTTTGGAGCAGTTTGCATCGAAAGTCACGTTATTTCAATTCGAAAAGTTTCCCTGAATGGAGTTACGTGATCGGCACGACTCTATTGCTAACAGAAAAAGTATGACGTACAGAAGCAAGACACTAATAAAAAAATTGAGAATGTTGTGACAATGTTACAATGAATAATAATTACTGTATTATTTTTGATTAATATCACGAATAGCAACAATGTTAAAATGTGTTTATTAATTGTTATGTTAAAAACGATTGTTGACATAGTAACAATGGTTCAAATCGTTTTTTTCCTTTTTTTAAAAACGTTTTTGATTGTCGACCTCCTTGTTCAGATACAATAAAAATAAATGTTTAATTCTTTTCCTCATACTACTTGTAATCATTTTTTTAATAAATACGGACAACACATTAAAATAAAAGTAAAGAAATACAGTCCACTCAGTTATAAAGCTGTTATTAAAAATAATTCGATATAAATAAATATAATATAGTAAGCAAAATACAGTCGACTCCCCCCAAACACTTTTGATCATTCCGTTTTATATGAATTCCGTGTTGTACGAAAACTTTCGATTTGCACAGCCCATCTTCCAAATTTCGCCACTATGGGCGCTACTGTCGTTAGCATTAGGTCGGGTGTAGTCGCTTTACTATACCGTTACCTCATTTGCATAGCTGTAGCTCTCTATCTTCGCAAGAATTTTCCAATTATTAAAGGGGACTTTCTTTTGTACCCTGTATATTAATAGAATTAATTGACCCTCTAAGGGTAGGTTGGAAACACCTGGTTTAAATATATATATATTCTAAATTCTAGTCTATTCCTAGCTAAAAGTTATTCTGTAATATATTAATCTCTTGATGGTTGCTTCAGCAACAACATCCAGTTCTAAAATTATTTGTTTATTGTTATGTTTAAAAAGCGATTGTTGTAGCAACGAGGCTTTTTTTTTAAAGTTAAATAATTGTATATATTTTATATCTCACATATAAATTGTTTTGTATCTTTTTCCAAGTCTGTTAGTTGGATGAAAGTGCTTACAAATTTTCCAATAAAGGTAAAATTTTATTTTAATGTCATAAAAGTTTTACGAAACCGTGTGTTTGGTTTAATGATTTTTAATCTATTTTTTCGAGATCGACTTGTTGCTAATTGAATAGACTTTTCCTCATCGCTTTCCAATTGGTCTTCCACCTGTCTCCATGTATAAATGGATGGAGATTCGTATAGTTCGAGGGAAAGGTCGACTGGAGATGGTTTATCCGACACCATCTTTTAGACTCTGATCACGTTTAATCGTTGACTTACGACACCTACGCTCATTCTGATATGTTTTCTAGTTTCGTTTTGCTTACTAAACTGCGTCTTAACTTTAATATTTTAAATTTTCTTTTTCTATATCTAAAATTTTGTTTTTCTGTCTACTCTCGATGAACGTCGACGTCAAAGTTTGGTGTTGCCGATTCGATACATATCATTTGTTTTCTTGACGGTTTAACTTAACAAATTTTTACATATCTTTCTTTTTTGGGGGAGGCTATTTCCGGGGCATCACAAGTACAATGAAGAGGATATTGGAAGTTTAAATCATTGTTTACAAATATATAAATATTTCTTTTATTTATTACATAATACAGTATAATATAAAATAGAGGTTATACTTAATATAATATTAAATTAAAAAAATAATATTACTTTTTTGTATGTTAAAACTTCACGAAATTAATTATGCATATGTTTTTAAATGTTAACATGTTAAGTTTAGAAAATACAATAAACCCCCATAACACTGTAGATAATCACGTGTTATATGAATTCCATATTGTACGAGTCACTTAAATTTTACAAATACGTATGCCGGGGTGTGAACGGCTCACATATTTGTAAAATCTAAGTGACTCGTACAACATGGAATTCATATAACACGTGATTATCTACAGTGTTATAGAGGGGTCTACTGTATTTTTAAAGTATAAAGGAATAAAACAAAATTTTAAAAGTTTCCAAACGACAATAAAACTAGCAACATGAAAATTAATCTATTAAACAACAGATATAATTATCGTTAAGTATAAGTATTTTCGATAATAACTTTCAAAATAATAATAGAAGAACGTTTGAACTTTTAATTAAACACTCACTACGTGAATTATTCTTATATAATAGTGACAACTTCTAGTTATACCGCATATACCGTACATTCAAGGTTTTTTTTTCAAGGTTTTATAAAATGCAAAACACAATCGTTCGACTAACGATCTAAACAACTTGTGTCACATTTTTGTAAGTATGATTTTCATCTCTAGTATATTAATTTAGAATTATTAAATTGTTTTAAAATTTTATTAGAACCTTTTAAACTATATTATTAAACAAAACTCGCCTTTTTTTTCCGTATAAAATGCTGGTTTATATACGTTACCTGTAATGTTATGTTAAATTTTCCTTATACTTTAACGCTATTTAAACAATGCTTCATAAAATATTTAATAAATAATTTTTTTTTTTTTGAATTTATTCTTTTTAAATTAGATTTAATGCGAGTTAAACCTGTATTTTTCTTCATTCAATATGTTTTCGACTGAAGGCAAGGTAATGTGTTTTCTAATTTATTATATTTAAATTTAATTTAAAAACAGTTTATTACAATAAAGTTATATATAAATGTTTTGATATTATTAAACTTATTAAGGCTTCTTATTATCTAATAGTTGGGTTTAATGATCCATTAGTCACGTCAATTGTAAGTAATTTCTCTCGGTGAATAGATATTAAAACAATTATTTACATTTGAATTTTGATAGCATTAGAACTGTTTACCTTCCTTCATACGTTAAACTCATTAACATTTTTTTTAAATAAATTAATTGTGATTAATTATAAAATACATTTAGTAAAATACTGTATAACAAATAAAAAAATAAATAAATAATAAAAATTTTTCAAGGATAAATTTATACCAGGAAATTCCGTTTTATGGCAGGTGTCCAGAATGTTTTTAAAGATGAATCTATTATTTACAGTTTCCGAATAAAATACATTTTATAAGGTATTAGTAAGTATTATTCAACATACCATTTTGAAGTAAAAAAAAAATTCTGTAGATATGTATGTGTATGTATGTGTGCTTGCACGTGTTTTCGCTTAATATCGCAAGACAGAGTGATACCGTTACCTCATTTGCATAGCTGTAGCTCTCTATNAATTTTTCAAGGATAAATTTATACCAGGAAATTCCGTTTTATGGCAGGTGTCCAGAATGTTTTTAAAGATGAATCTATTATTTACAGTTTCCGAATAAAATACATTTTATAAGGTATTAGTAAGTATTATTCAACATACCATTTTGAAGTAAAAAAAAAAAATTCTGTAGATATGTATGTGTATGTATGTGTGCTTGCACGTGTTTTCGCTTAATATCGCAAGACAGGGTGAAGATAAAGAAACGAAATTTGGCATGGTAGCTTGTATGTAAGGAGCATTAATGCTACTAAATTATGATTGTGAAAGGTCAAGGGGATGGAGAGATAGAGGGTGGTCACGTGTCATATCTCGGGGGTCAGACTTAATGAAGATTTTTACATGTTGTTAGCATTTACAGTGTTTTATAAAACCCATCTCTGCCCTCAAAATTAAATCTTTTGCTAATTTATAATAATAAAAAATATATAAATTTTTTATAACAAAATCTCATAATAGATGGCGCCACATACAATTTTAGTTATTTATGTTGATTAATAATACAATTAATAATCTATTTGAAAGATTCGATGATTTAAATATTAATCGAAATGTCTCTTTTTATGAATGATCTTTAATGTTTTTGGTGCATCAATTTTATAATTTTTACTGATAGAATTATATAAGAGATGCAAATTAAAACAAAGTTATTAAGTTGGAGTTTCTTTTAAACCTTTATTAAATATTTTTTTCTTATATTTAGCCTATCAAATGTAAAGCTGCAGTTGCATGGTCTAAAGGAGAACCACTTTCTATTGAAATAGTGGAAGTTGCTCCTCCAGAAAATACGGAAGTTCGCATAAAAGTAAGTTAATAATAAATTTATTATTATTCTATTATTAATTAATAACGAATGGTTTTAAACATAAAATTGTAGTACTATAATTAAAAACTAGATTTTTATGTTAATTTATTATGTATACATGTATATATATCTTCAAGGATTCTTAATCCAAGAACTCAATAGACTCTTGAGAGTTAGAGAATAGGTTTTAAAATCGATAATTTTCAGCGTAATTATAGATATTTTCCTAGGAGGAATCGTTAACTCCTTATTATATTAAAAAGAATCGTGGCTTTTTAAAGCTTAAAAATGTATGCATTAAACATATATGTATGCATTATTAGGCTATAAACATATTTTAATTATGATTTCTCAATAGGTTATTTCAACAGGAGTATGCAATACAGACTCAAGTTTTCTTCAAGGTTTCGATCCCAATCAAAGATTTCCACTCGTTTTAGGTCATGAAGCTGCTGGAATAGTGGAGAGTGTTGGAAAAAATGTAAAATATTTTAAGCCAGGTAATGTAAATCTTTTAAATTACACTATTTTTCATTTTCGGCTGTTTCCACTCTAAGAGGGCTCTTTTCCATGGGTTTGGCCAGACCTATAATGTGAGTAACCGGATAGTGAGAGACGAGACCAAAAAATTAACGATAAAATTTTAATGGACACCATTATGAGCCTGGCTGAACTCACTTGTCAGATGGACCTGAATAAAGCACTTCAGGCCACACCAGCATCAAGCCCACAGGGTAGAAAGAGTTAAAAGAAACAAATTTGAATGTAATAAATACTGTAATTAAAATATTTTTATAATTATATAAATGAAATAAACTATTACAGGGGATCATGTGATTCCTTTATTTTTGCCACAATGTCAACAATGTGATCTCTGTAAAAATCCAGATACAAATCTTTGCGAAAAAGTTGTGTAAGTGAGATAATTTATTATAAAATTTAATCTTTATTTTAAAATTTTTATTAGTTATAATCAAATGTATTAATTATTAAAACACCTTTTTTTTCGCGTATCTTTTTAATCTCAGAAATGAGTCAGGAAAAATGGAGAATGATCCCAAATCTCTTTCGTGCAAAGGAAAATTGTTGTCACAATTGATGAATCTTGGTACTTTCTCTGAATTTACAGTTGTCGAAGAAATGCAGCTGACAAAGGTTCGATGAATTATTAACAAAATGATTTTATAATGATAATTTTCTCAAAGATTTTATTACATTTTTACAGATTAATCCGAAAGCTCCATTGGATAAAATGGCATTATTGGGCTGTTGCATTCCTACTGGATATGGAGCAGCAGTATATTGTGCTAAAGTCCGAAAAGGATCCATATGCGCTATTTGGGGTCTTGGTGGAGTCGGAATGGCTGTTGTTATGGGATGCCATTATCAAGGAGCAAAAGAGATAATTGGAATTGATATAAACGTGGATAAATTTAAATTAGGTAAAATATTAACTATGTATTCTTGTATTTTCGTTCTAAAAAGATAGAAAATAATACATTTTATATTTATAGCTAAAAAATTAGGATGCACAAATTGCATAAATCCAAAGGATCACGATAAACCCATCGAAAAAGTTCTTACTGAAATGACTGGAGGAAAAGGAGTTGATTATGCTTTCGTTGCTGTTGGAATTAAAGATGCTGTGGTTAGTATAAAATTTAAAAATTTTACTTTTGTTTATATTGCTTAATAACTTTAACTATTTAAAGAAATCTGCCTTATTATCAACTCGCATGGGAATTGGCAAAGTAATCGTAATTGGTTTAATTCATGGAGGAGAAATTTGTATCGATGCACTTGGTTTATTAATGGGAAGAACTGTTATGGGAACAAATTTTGGCAGTAAGTCACGAAAACAGTTTATTAAAACTAAGCGCACAAAAAAAAATAAAATTAGTTTTTGATTATTCAATTCATTTTCATTGTAGATACGAGAGGTTTAACTGATGTTCCCAAAATGGTAGATGATTATATGAAGGGTAAACTTCCTTCAGATGACCTAATAACTAATGTAATTAATTTGGATGATATCAATACTGGTTTTGAACTTATGAGAACGGGAAAATCGTAAGTAAATAGGAAAATCATCGACTATTTTCTTTAACATATTTTATATACGTGTATTTATAAATCACATTTATTTCAGTCTGAAAACTGTAGTTATCTTGAAACACGAGAATTGATTTCAGTTCATCTAAAAAAGCTGTTTATCATTCACACGTTTATATTGTGAAATACACGTTTTATTATGAAGATTCAAGGATTCTATGCATATATAAGCCTATAGATTTGTTTTAAATAATAAAAAATCAATATATTTTATAAAATGTACTGAAATTGTTTATCAATATTAATGAATAATAAAGAAAATTTTATCGTGTTATTAATCTATCAGATGTTTCATTTAAAATGAAAATATATTTATTAAAATGATTTTTTTATAAGAAAAATACTTTTTCAATACTTTCTCTTGTTATATATACGTAACAGCCGGAAAAAGTAAAAACAAAAACATTTATAAAAAAAATAGCGTTTTTTAATCATTGTAAATGAAGATGTAGAGCAAGAGTGAGCATGCCATCACTTAAACGAATTACCTCACGTAATATACCGAGTAATTGTAATTATATTACTCCTATTTAACGCTGTCTAGCGAGATCTTTAGCAGTACAAATGCAACTAAATGTGTGGTATGGTGACGTTTCAGGGCAATTTTTACAGAAAACATTCTTGTAGAAATAAAAAATCAATACTAAAACTCACTTTTGGCGCTGAAAGGTAATAAAAAAAGCAGTTTCCTTTGCATATTCACACTTTTCCCCTTCAAATTCTGAAAATAAAAGTGGCCACGACTGTCGAACGTTATTTTTATCAGCTATGATGGTAATCATCTTGCGTATTTCTCGTGAAATTATTTTATAAAAACAATGGCAATGTTGAGTCTGTACTTCGGGGGTTTTGCCGTTATAAGAATTCATTCAGAGAATCATTGGATCTTAAGTTCTGAGGAGAATGATCACTCCATTCAAGAAAAGTGGACCTCAATCCGGCCGAGAGCGCAAACCTATCATTGTACTTGAAAAATTAATACCTATAGTTTATCAAGTAAACATTTTAATCATAAATAAGCACAACAAAAAATATATGCAAATGTTTTTAATTAAAAAAAATAAAGTTCTATAATCTCAAAATGCTTCTTTGTACACCATATTCATCACCAAAATGATTTTTATTTCATGGCCAAGGCGATTGATGGAGATTGAATACGTTAGAATGTGTACTACTCAACCATAAAAAAATTTCTGGGAAATCTCTCAGAGCGATAGGCTAATACTTTAGGTCTGTTCGATAGTGGGATAATTTCGATTGATTGGAATATTTTTACGTAAATTTGATGCTATTCTTTAGAATATTCTATTGTAAAACTGACATGTGACCCATGAACAATACCATGTCTGTCCAATCACCCAGATAAATAACTATAAAAATACAGCAACGAGTTGCTTAACTTTCTCGGCAACATTTGGGGTGCCATCTCTTATCATATTTTACTTAAAATGTTTTATATTTTTAACTATTATAAAATGGCAAAAATGGCTTAATTTTGAGGGTAGGAGTGGATTTCATAAAAAAATTGTAAATACTAATAACGAGTAAAATCAATCATCAAGTCTGACCTTAGTGGAGATATACAGTGCCCTAACTAGCCATTCCTGTGCCCTGTGCAGGAATTTGTATTTAGACCCCTTAATTAATTAGGTTTGGGAAAGTAATAAAACAAATACATGCATTTTGGGCCCCTCTTTCAAGTGGGCCCTGTGCGGGTGCACCTGTTGCACCTGCCTAGTTACGGCACTAGAGATATACACGATCTCCTTAATTTCCCCATCTCCTCCACCTTTAATCACCAAAATTTAATAACATCAATCCTCCTAATAAGCAAACTTTCTTGCAAAATTTCAGAAATTTATACAAAAAGTGCATTTTTCTCTCTCTTTGAATCAAGAATCACACAGCAATTGTTTTTCCAGGTTACTTTATTTTCCTCTGGTACCAGTCTAGAAAATGCATACAAGTATAAAGAAATAAGATAATTCGACAAAACAATCACCGTATGGTTCCTAATTCAAAGAGGAAAAATGTTTATAAAATTAATTGTCAGCATGATTCAGGGAAAGGATTTAATTAATAATAATAAAAATTTTTGTAAGAATTTAATATATTCTCGGATTTTATATCGAAACAGAAAACATAACTATATAAACCTACAAAAGTTCAAATTTATGCGCTTTTTACAATGAATTTACTACTGTATGCGGCGTATCGAAAGCCGTCCGATCGTCTTAGGTCTTGATGAATTAATACAATCGTTAACCAAACAACAATTGATATCGCTTTGAAGCGAAATGTATAAAACAATAATACAGGTAAAAATCTTGTGGGTACCACTTCGAAGCTTCTAGCTTATTATCATCAACCTTGAGTAAACGTTTAGTTACATACGGTATATCTCTAAATTATCAATTTCCTTTAAAAAAGGAAAGACACTAAACGATAAAAGAAACCGAGAATCATTTATGTTTCTAAAGTCACAAATGTCAAAGAATTGTAATCTAAACATTGAACTTCATCATTAATGAAAAAAAAAAAAAACTAGTGACTAATTATCTTAGAGAAGAACAAATACAGTTGAAATATCTTCATCCGTGTTCACCTCAGCTAAATCCTATAAAGTCTGTGTTTAGAAACATATATAACAACTTTCGACTACTTCCCAATAACACTGACTAATCTCATGTGTATGACTAATAATAAATTAGCATCATGAATAATTAATTATTTTATTCTCTATTTTATGAACGTATGAGACAATATTTACAAGCAAAGTACAATGGTTCTCCTTTACTTTAAAACATTTGACAATGCGTTTGGAACGTCGAGCATGATTCCACTGACGTTCCAAACGCCATTGTCAAACTTCTAAGCTCACAGAAAGGCTGAGCTGAACGTCCGACGTACACGTTTTCGCGTTGAAAACGTCGGCCGCTACCTCTCTAATTTCTTTCCTTTTTTTCTATTTACTTTATAAAATTCCCTAGTTTTTCAAATTTTCCCTAGATATAAAGACATACCCAACGATTGCCTGAATGATCGGGTTAGAATGTGGCTAATTAAATAATTAATATAAAGCCATCTCGTGTCGATTTGATTAATATATATATATTATTTAAATATATAATAAAAACTTATATAAAAGTTTTATATATTATTTAAAACTATATGTTTTATAAGAATATTTTTATATTTTATATATATTTTTTAATATATTAAAGTGTTACATTTACAGTGGTACCTCAGGTTACGAACGCCCCAGCATACGAAATTTTCAGGATACGACATGAAATTCGAACATATTTTTGCTCCACGATACGAACAAAAACTCACCATACGACGTTACATTAGTTCGCATTTTTCACTTGTTTTTCTTACTACAGTTATTTTTTTAATGTATTACTTGGCTTTAATTTGAGTGTGTTTTTCGCGTTGGAACGAATTATTTGGTTTTACATGTAATCGTATGGGAAAAGATGTTCCACCTTACGACATTTTCATGATACGATCTCAGTTTCGGAACGAATTAATTTCGTATCCTGAGGTACCACTGTAATTACGTAACATTTTAACGTACTGTAATGATGCAATACTAGTTTCCTGTTATATCTCGTGTAAACACTTGTTATCCGTTAGTACTTTTAAATGTTCAAGGAAACCGGTAAGTGTTTAACTGCTTTGTTAAATTTAAATAATAGCTATAAATGCATGTAATATTTAATTTAAATTAGATTACGTCTAATTCTACACTTTGAAATGGAATAACAATGACAAAACAATGATTCTGGTGTTAATTTGTATAATTAATTTTTTAAATGACTTTTTATCTTTTATGTATCTAAGATAAATATATAATTTTGTATGAAGTTGTAATTTAGATATATGATCAGTATGTATTTTTTATTATAGTCGAAACGATGTTCCCCACTCAAGGAAAGGTAAAGCAAAAATCTTATATAAACTATATAAAAGTAGAATTTAGCACATACATTTTCAAAAGGTCACTCAACTTTGTTATCTAGAACAAAGTTGAGTGATCTTTTGATATAGAGTATTGGTAAATATTGCATAAAACCTCACCATCTTTAATTTTAGTAACTGTACTTTTGTAGTTCTTCATTTAGATCGAAATGCCTCAATGTTGTAAGAGAACAATAGACCAAAATGGCTTTGCTTTTACAGTAACACATTTTAAGGTGTCACATTACCCATGGTTTACCTTTTTCCCTCTTATCTCATAAAATATGACTGGGTTTTGGGATTGGAAGATTGAGATATTTGTAGGGCTCTATGCTACTATAATACATTTGGGCTACTGAAAATATTTTGGATAACATTTCGAGGAATTCTGCTTTACTTTTTATAAAATCTATCCGGCAACCTCTAATGTTTTCACTGAACACGTGCTGTTTACCTGTAGTTTATTTATATTATTATTATTATTATCATTTAATTATTATTTTAAAAAGCATATAGGAAATTTCCTTATACGTAAAACTTTTAAACGTGTTTAAAGAATAAACAGATTTTTATAATTTCTAAAGGAATTTTGTTTTGGCATATATTATTTGTTCCTTATTTTATATAGACGTGTATATAAAATCTTTAAATTTTAAAAAAGGATAAAAAGAAACGACATTTTCTTATTAAAAATTAGGACATTAAAAATAATTTTTCTTCGGATAATTTTCATAGTTTGAATGCGATAAATTTAATTAGTATTTCAACAATATTTAATCATAACAATATGAATTTTGTAAGATAATAGGCCTAAATATTATGCGAAAGCAATAAAGTAATTTAAAACAAAGAATAATTTAAAATAAAATTTATCTATTCTAAACAAGGAAAATAATATTACCGGTAACTTTAAACAAGATTATTTATTAATGTGTACAAAAATGTATTGTTTATTTTTAAATAACTTTTAGTTTACCCCCCATTTTAGTATGAGGATTTCTTCACGATCCCGAGCCGGGATCGTGAAGGATTCTTAATCA